CCTAAAGCGAGTTTTAAATCGGATGTGTGGAAGCATTTCAGTTCCTTTCTAAAATGATACGAAAAAGGAGAAAAGGTGACAGACAAAGAAAAAAACAATATGCAGGCACTGCCAGACTGTGGTGAAATATAAGTCGGGGAATACGACTTAAAACAGTTATGGGGACTGCAGAACACAACACACTTGTTAGATTGATGCAGACATTGACTTGTACGGCAAAGAGACCTCTATCTCACTCATGGCTTGTCCTCTCAAGTGGTGGAAAGACAAAGCACAACGTTACCCACTGCTGTCAACCTTGGCTAAATCGTATCTCTCTGTCCCAGAAACCTCAGTCCCAAATGAGAGGTTTTTTTTTCTGTTGCAGGGGACATGCCCAGAGATCCCAGCTTTTACCAGATTATAGTTATATGATACTTTTCCTTAAAAAAACATCTCTATCTAAGTAAGTGAGTGATTAAATGTTGAATGTGATGAGTTTTCAACATAACTAAATTGAAACTTTATTCTTTTTTATATGGTTTAATAGTTTTTTGTAATTAAAATTGAAAAATTGAAGTTCCTGTTTCGAAACTTACAGATAGATGGCTGATTTGTATGTCAATGATATGTTCAGTGCTAAGGTAAATAAACACTTTTGGCACTTTTTTTGAGTCTTTTCATTAGTTTTGTTTTTCCTGTAAATTATTCAATAAATACCGTACTGTGCCATTCATACCGAGGTATTACCGTACCGTGAAATTCTGATACCGTTACATCCCTAACAAATAGTTATGACTACAAATGTTTTTATGTTAGTTTCACTTATTTTAATAAGCTAATTATGTTTCAACTGCATAAAATACAGTTTAACATTATTTGTTTAGTCAGTTTGATGACTAGTAAATAGTTTATTTAGCAAAAATAGCAAATTAACTAGTTAATTTTTTAAACTAAAACATTTAGGCAGCAACAATTTTTTGAGTGTAGAAAGTACTTTTTAAGTGGTTATCTTTGTAATTAGTTACTTAAAATAGGAATGATCTTCACAAGCGTTTATTCCAATTCATGCTAGCTTGTGTTCTGTTGTTATTAAAGGTCATTTCATTTGTTAAATAGGGGACAAAACTTAAATGATTTTTTTTTATAATATAATCTACAAAATTGCTTAAACTATATTACTATCATCTTTGTGTAACATTTTATTTATTTTTCGTTCAAACACTCTCATTTGCATATTAAGAAATGTACCAGTCGTGTTTGTTTAGGTTTGTCTTGTTTTAGAACAGTGGTTCTCAAACTTTTTTCATCAAGTACCACCTCAGAAAAAAATTGTCTCTTTAAGTACCACCATTAAAATGAGCAGCATTAAATACAGTAGCGTAGTTGGCCCAGTTAAGCAGCTACAACTCAGCACAGTTAAAAAACGTGGCAGATTACCTCAGAAATATAGGCTATATGTCATATATTACATATTATATGCATAATTTTTGATACATTTTGAAATGTGCGTAGCATGTACATGACATATTTCATTCCTCCGCGTACCACTAGAAGGAAGTCTGCGTACCACTAGTGGTACACGTACCACAGTTTGAGAACCACTGTTTTAGAACATTTCCTGCAGTTGGTACTTGGGCATGAGGAGGTCAATGCCACAGGAAAACAGGAAGTTCTGAGTCCAGGGCGCACTCTGCTAACAGGAAGTCTACAGCTTTGAGCAGGAACCGTATTCATGATTGGTGAGTGTTAATTACGTCTCTCTCTTCCTTTTCACTTTGAATTATAAAAGCAATTAGTTGACTTTACTTTAAAAAAAAAGTGAGTACACCAGTTGATGTAAAATTAATAATTAAATGAGCTGCGCATAATTCTGAAAATTAAATCAACTTAACAGTTGCAAGTTACAACAGGTTCTGTATCTAACATTGTAGTTTTAAGGTATACCAAAGACTCTAGAATAAAGGGACTTTGCATGTACAAAAGTAATAAATACCTTCTCCTTTCCAAGCTCTTTTCGATGACTCATTCCAATGTCTCACGCTCTTTCCCATCCACTGAGCAACAGGTCAGCCATGAGGCTAAGCACGGCCGTCGATCGGTCATTAGGTTTAAAAAAAGTGTGTGTGTGTATATATATATATATATATATATATATATATATATATATATATATATATATATATATATATATATATATTATACAGTAAACTAAATGTGTAATTTCTTATGAAAATTGTTAAATAACTTGCATCTTAGACAGAATTTTACTCGCTTCCCTCTAAAGACGGCGCATAGAAAATGTTGCTTTCTCAAGCTGATGTTTCTGAATGTTGAAGTGAAGTATGTGCTCTCTTTCACGTCCACGTTCCCACTTCCCAACCCTGCCATGAGCAGACCCTCTCACCCATTAATGTTAATGTGGTGAAATCATGCGCCTGTGACTGTTTTTTTAAGATTGCTTTTGAAAACACTATCAGTTGGGTTTAGGAACGGGGGTGGGTCATTTGGTCTGTCAGTCAGTCGACAGAAAGCTGGCCTGGTCAGCTGAAGTGTAAATTGCCCCCTCTGGTGGAGAAGATGACACGTGAGAGAAAATTGAGATCCTCAAAAAGCATACACAGTAGCCTCTGGCGAATTTGCAAAAACTGTGAAAAGACGTACCTCCATTTTCGAATTTTATTGTCCCCAAATAATATAGACCTGGGTACGCATCTGTAGTGAACCTGGGTGGGACTTGAAAGCCTCAGATTTTTTTTTCTCAAAAGTGTTTTTATTGAACATGTTAGAAATGAAACCTGCAGTACGAATAGCTTTTAACCTTTTCTCTTTTTATTTTTAGACTTTTAAAAAAAAAGTTTATCTTGCTTGCTGTGCAGAAGTTCCCCTTGGTTTTGGACTTGCCACACCTGCCAAAGCTAATCTGAACTCTAATCAACAGGGGCAAGTTTCAGCTTGTTCCCTCTCACTGTTCTAGAATCAGCTTGCAAAGCCCAAAACAATCATGATGTCTGCAAAACTGGTCGTAATAACACAGACTACCTGCTATTTTAGCCCCACCTAAACATAGATCAAACAGCATGACTGGGTGCTGTAGTGAACAAGAACTCACACTTGGCCATAGTAGATATTAAAGTAATGCAAAGTAACATCCCAGTCTTGCTGTTATTAATCATCAGTCCCATGGTATTATTTGCAGCAGAGTTACAAAAAAAAAAAAAAAGAGCTCACAAATGAGGTACTGATGACCTTTGACCTTCCTTAGAGCACTTTGAATAGCTTTGCCAGCCTCCATTTTTCCCCCAAGACAAACTGCTTCTCTCGGCAAGGTAAGAAAGCACAATGAGATATTACTTTACCTCACCCAGGGGAGATCTGTGCTATATATCATGTTTTTGCCCTGTTAATTTTTTTACTGCTCCTTTTGCACACTGACTATGGTGGGGAATGTTAATAAACTGTTTCAGATTAATAGATTCTGAGGATGAATTAAACAGCTAAATGTATCAGATAGTTACAGTGATATATAACATCATACAAGTAACATATGATATTTACTTGTCATTGAAATATTTTACCTGATATTTTACCTGATATACATGATTAGTCCAGCCAATATGCTATTTGAATTTTTTTTACACAATTATTCTGCATTTTTTTATTATTAAAAATATATATTTTATTTGTTTATCTATTTTTATTTATTTTATCTTTTTAATTTATTTACTTATTTTTATTAGTTTATTTTATTTTTAAATAATTTATTTTTATTGTATTTATTTATTGTTTTATTTTTAAATTATTTTTTAAAATTAACTAATTAATTAGTTTCATTCAATTCTTTAAATTTTGTTTATTTTTAAAATATATTTATTTATTTATTATATTTATTTTTACATTTATTTTAATTCATTAATTTATTTTTATTTGTTTTATTTTTATTTATTTTATTTTTAAATGTATTTTTTAACAATTTAGTTTTTTATTAATTCATTTATTTTTATTTACTTAATTTTTTAATTAATTGATTAATTAATTAATTTATTAATTTATTTATTAAAAGTCTAAATAATATGTAAAATCTTTTAATGCAATTTTTAAAAATTTAACTACATTGATTAATTCATGACCAGTGCTTCTATTTTCCGGTCATTCCTGTAAGTTGTAAGACATGTAAATTTACACGTTGTTATTATTATTCATTCATTCATTTTCTTTTCGGCTTAGACCCTTTATTAATCTGGAGTCGCCACAGCGGAATGAACCGCAATATTGTAGAGCACATGTTTTACGCAGCGGATGTCCTTCTAGCTGCAACCCATCACCGGGAAACACCCATACACTCTCATTTAAACGCATACACTAACGAACAATTTAGCCTGCCCAATTCACTTGTACCGCATGTCTTTAGAGTGTGGAGGAAATTGGAGAATCTGAATGAAACATGCAAACTCCACACAGAAATGACAACTGACTCAGCCGAGGCTCGAACCTCTTGCTGTGAGGCGACAGCACTACTTACTGCGCCATCGCGTTGCCATAATAATAATAATAATTATAATAATAATTATTGTTGTTGTTGTTGTTGTTAATAGTCATTTGTTACCCTGGACAACAAAAAAATTCTTGCATGGGTTTATTAATTTGTCAACAGCCAAAAATTCATTGTATTGCTCAAAAATTACATTTTTAAAAAAATGTTTAATGTCAAATTTTTATAAAAAAAACATTATTTATTGTCATTAAAATATATAACGCTATTCCATATCATATTGCTATTAATATTCAGAAAGAATATACATATATATATATATATATATATATATATATATATTTGTTGTTATAGCTTGTTTAACCTAGAGCTGAATATATAGTGTTTACAGCACAAAACTACGCGTAAAAGCCTAATAAAAGTTTGCAATGGCTACAATGGTTTACTTGTGGAGCAATAACGCTGTTCGTTTTAAGATTCCTTTTTAAGCATACAATGAATATTATATTAGATTTGAATAATTCATGACCCAGTGCTTCTATCTTTTCTAGTCATTCCAGTGTGTTGTAGGATATGTCAGTGGCTGGCTGTGTGTTTCCTCTGCTCAGTGTGTCTGTCTGCGCTTATCTTCATCTGACATTTGGAGCATGTGTGAATGAGGCGGTGGCGCGCGGAGCTGCCATCCCTCAAACACCAGGGGAAAGCCAAGTGACACAGCAGTTCCCGAGATGTGTTCTTAACTCGTCAGTCTCTTCACAGAGGAATTGTCTAATGTAAGTCCAGCCATCATGACATCGGTGTGGAAGAGACTCCAGCGCGCTGGAAAAAGAGCGTCGAAGTTTCAGTTTGCCGCGTCCTTTCAAGAACTCACCGTAGAGTGCACTAAGAAGTGGTAAGACGTCGGACTTTACTACTTTATTCTCACACTGATGTCACGAATGCACATTAAACACAGTGCCGTGTATGTTTAACGTTACAAGTTTGACGTAACTGCAGCAACACCAGTTTAGCGAGTGACGCAACGCTCCTATTATAAACAACACTGAAGCTCGTGCGCTTGTGTTGAAGCCTACATGTGATGTAGTCGAGATATAATGTAACTTTAGGCTACTTTATTGTCACTGAGGTGTGGTTAGTTATATTTAAAGTAGTTATGTTTCAAGAAGGAATGATATCTGAGAGCTTGTTTACTCTGACGAGCACTTTTTTTGTTTGTAGTAGGCTAGTAGGTAATGAGTTTTGTTATTAGTAGCCGATACCTCCGTTCACTTCCGTTTTACTTTCAGTTCTTATGAAGAGACATTGTAGTAGGCATCTTCAATGACACAGCAGTCATTAGCAGCTACAGACCTTTTTTTTGTATTTGCTGGTACAAATCGAAAGAGACTTACAAATAATGATCAATATAGCTCTGAGTTCCTATAGAAGTATTAAAGGGATAGTTCACGCAGAATTGAAAATCAACACAATTCTTGAGTTTCAACTTAAGTTTTTATGTTCAGTCTAATTAAATTTGTAAAAAAAAAATTAGTTAACTTAATCGATTTGTGGCCGGCACGGTGGTGCAGTGGGTAGCACTGTTGCCTCAAAACAAGAAGGTCGCTGTTTCGAGCCTCGGCTGGGTCAGTTTGCATTTCTGTGTGGAGTTTGCATGTTCTCCCCGCGTTCGTGTGGGTTTCCTCTGGGTACAGGTGAATTGACTAATCTAAATGGTCCGTACTGTATGTGTGTGAATGAGAGTGTATGGGTGTTTTCCAGTGATGGGTTGAAGCTGGAAGGGCATCTGCTGCGTAAAACATATGCTGGATAAGTTAACGGTTCATTCCGCTGTGGCGACACCTGATTATTAAAGGTACTAAGTCATACCTGCCAACATTTGTCTCTGAATATCCTGAAGTTTTCCGGGAGATGGAACAAATGGGAAAAGGGTCTGAAATACTGGAGACTCTCAGGAAAAACGGGAGTGTTGGCAGGTATGGACTAGGTCGAAAAGCAAATGAATGAATAATCGATTTGTGTTGGGACAACATGAAGGAATTGTGTTGAACCATGCATTTTTCACAGTGCACCCTCAAGTAGTTCCAGATGTGTATGAGTTACTTTATTCTGTTGAACACAGAAGAAGATATTTTGAAGAAAGCTGAAAACTGGTAACGAACAGGCCCTTTCACACAGTGATACCGGTAAATTTCCGGAACGACTTTACCGGTAAATTCAAAAAAGCGCTGTTCACACAGGCGAGGACGTTATGGAATTTTTCTGGAAAAGAGCATTCACACATCCATTCCAAAATACTGGTAAATTCTGACATCATTAACCAGAAATGACCTCTAAACGGCTGCGCTTGTATTTGTAAACATTTGACTACATCACAAACTCTGTGGATGGATCAGTATTGTGAACAACTTCGATGAAAACACATAGAGAAACACTTTCGCATGTCGAGATGTACATGATATGTGTGTGTGCTGGCGCTCACAGGCTGTTTCATGGGCACACGCAAAGCTTGAAGGTAAACAAACAACGGCTTATCATAAGCATCTTATCGATAATTAATTACACGGTTGGCATTAAGATGAACATATAAACGTGATCTGATTAATTTCTAGCAGCTAAATGTGTCTGGACAAATATTCAAAGGCTTTTATTCTCATAAACCGTGCGGACGTGAATACGTCTAACTGTTCTGATTGGCTAAAGTAGACGTCTCACGTCAGCACGTTTTAGACGTGGACGCACTCTTTCCGGCAATCTTCCTTCTGCATTCACACAGCGCAGGATTCCGGCAATGTTACAACTTCTCTTTCCGGAAAATAGCCAGAACGAATTTACCGGTATTTTCAAAAAGGGCCTGTTCACACATACACACCTTTCCAGAAAATTGCCGGTAATTTTATTTTATTAACTCCCACTGAAGGAAAAATAATTACTGCAAAGGCAATGTTTCCAGCTTTCTTCAAAATATCTTCTTTTGTGTTTAACAGAATTGTGGAATTACAAACCTACGTCACACATGACGTCACGCAGGTTCTACCATGCATACTGGTTGCAAAAAAAGGCCGGTTGCAATAGCAAACATGTCGTGTTGTGTGGTAGGATGCCAAAATCGAAAGTCCAAGAATAGAAAACTTAAATTTTAGCGTACACCACACTGCTTTTAATGCCAACCGCAGACGTCTTTGGCTAACAGCCATCAGAATAGCTTAATGGAATGAGGACCTAATTAAAAATCCTTGACTCTGCAGTTCTCATTTCATATCAGGTAAGTTCACAATATGCTAAATAGAGGTGTGAACCTACACTAGTCACACGGTTCGGTTCAGTTACGATTATCATGCCATCGATTCGGTTCAATTCGATATTTCGGTGCATCACGGTGCATTGACGGTGCTTTCCATACACAGTTTTAAATTTCTTCACAGCAGCATTTCTTGTATTAAAATGTATGAATATATTTATATTTATATTCTATTTGTAATACAATTTTGTCATTTAATACAAATAGTCAGATATATAAACTGTAACTTTAAACAAAACGAGCATTTAGCAAATAATATAAACAAATATAAATATCCAGCTCAATTTCTGATCCTTGTCTAGTTCTCTTACACCCCTTTGATTGGTCACACCCTCAAAAAAAAAAGGGTTGCGATTGGCTCTTGCGCGCTGCGTTCTTCACAGATGAGTGATGCTGATAAGCGGCAGGCGGCAGCGGCGATCTCACAGCTGATGTATGATAGACACGGTGGAGAAAACTCTGCAGACGCGCGCTCGTTTCTGGATGCAAAAGTAACGCTGTAAAACAGCCGAGAAGAGAAGAAAAGCCACGCCAGCAGGTCAAATGGGCCACTGTGTGTCTGTGAGAAAGAGAGAGAGAGACAGAGTGCGTGAGAGAGAGAGAGAGAGAGAGAGAGAGAGAGAAATGGAGTAGGCTACTTTCATTCTCTCGATCTCAGTGAAATAGGGGCTATTGTTGTATGTCAGTGAAAGACTGATCCAGAAAACACACACAGTGAAATTGTGCACAGTTTATGAGTTTTAAGTAGTTAAAGCGCTGTAAATACTCGCGATCGCCTCCCTCGCGACTAAGCGCATATGAGGTAAATGACGTCAGTAATAACCGGTTATGATTATTACTGAACCGATACCGAATTGTCCGCGTCTGCATCGCAGTGCACTGAAAAAACGATTATTTTTGACACCCCTAATGCTAAATCATACACATTGCTAAATGTGGTATATTGAACTGCGGACATAGAATGCTAAGAATGAAACGTGAAAGTGAAAGTTTGCATACTCTGCTGACTGTACAGGTGCAGTTTGCTGTCAGAATGCAGTTGATTTGCTTGTTGATGATTACCCAGGGCTTGTATAGCTTCATTTTTGTTCCTTGTCTTTGGCTAGGCAGAACTTCGGTTTTTAGCTCTACAAAGTTTTGAATCTGGTAATAATGGAACATTAGAAGTTAGTCTTTAACTTCTCTCTTGTAAATTCACTTGGAGTTTCAATGAGATTGTATATTTGGGACTGGATGCTTGGCCATTTCGTATTACCCATTGGGAGGGTGCTATCACAATGGACCTGTCAGACGAATGCCGCTCACTTTAACGTTAATTTTGCAGAATAACTGTGCTTATCACAGGGTGACAAGCTGTTATAATATGCTGAAAGCCTTTTAATACACCACCTTTGTTTATATTGCAGTTCTACACACTCTTAAAGTGCATATTGGGATGCTTTAAAACAGTTTTTGGAGGAGTACTTGTTAAGGGCTTGTTGCTCAATAGCTATTCATTCGTTTTTTTTCGGCTTAGTCCCTTTATTAATCTGGGATCGCCACAGCGGATTAAACCACCAACTTATTCAGCATATGTTTTACGCAGCGGATGCTCTTCCAGCTGCAACCCATTACTGGGAAACATCCATACACACTCATTCACACACATACACTACAGACAATTTAGCTTACTCAATTCACCTGTAGCGCATGTCTTTGGACTTGTGGGGGACTTGTCAAGCACTAATTGCTCAATAATACTGCATAATACATTTAAGCCTACAAATTTTAATTAAATCATTGGAGAATAAGTATTTAGACTGAAAGTTTGTTAGGATCACAAAACATAAAATAAGACAAAGGTCAGATTTTTTACATTTCACAAGATATTGATGTGTTGAGGATTTTTGTGAAATGTGAAATGTAAGATGACATTTTCCCAGTATTTCCTATTATATTTTTTTTCTTTTGAATGTAGTCTTATGTCTTTGTTTGGCATCTTAGGTGTTGATAAATAAGTAAAGAATATAGCAGATTTTGTACTTTTCTTCATAAGAGTGTTTAAAGTACTTATAGTGTTCTGTAAAAATGCTTAAATGTGACTTAATAAACGTCACCTGTTCAATAATGTCAAACATTTATTTTAATATTATAAAGTATGCATTGTAAACTACAGTAGGCAATAGCCTGTTTGTAAATCTTTACCACTCTAACAATCAAGATCACTTAATGTGCATTAGAGGCATTGCAATTCATGTCATTATATATTTTTGGTAATCTTTATACCATCAAGACAATGATTGTAGGAGCATAATCTTATTTCTAAAGTGAGTTCATATGATAGTGATCCTCCAACAAAGACAGGAAATGGGCTTTTATTTAGTTTCCGGCAATAAGGAAATAAATCCCATCAATTTTTGTGATATATTGTGCTTGTTAACAGATAATGACAGATAATTTCCTAAAAGCAACCAGTGTCCAGGATATAGTTTCTACACAAACAAGTGCAACTCCATACTGTTCTAGACATTTCTAGTCAGTGTGTTAAAATAAATGTTGCTAAACTGAAGAGTTAATATGTGAAAAGGCTGGAACAGTTAGAGAGATGTTATATA